TTGAAACAAAAAATTATGACAACAAGGCATGTAGACTGTAGAACACTTCATTTATTTTTGAAAGAAATTTTTGGCCAGTCCTCTGGCCTTCACCACTTTACTGAATGTACAAGTTGGCTGTTACAAGTTCTATACTGTACAATATAAACAATATAATAGTGGTGTAGACAGATTATAGGCCAATTATCTAATATTTGGCCTATAATCCATCTACACCAGTATTGTATATATATATATATATAAATAGTATGTGTATATTATGTGTGTGTTTATTAATTAAATATATACAGTATGTCCTTTATTCAAATAATGTATATAAATGCTGTCTCTTATACACATCTAGATGTGTATAAGAGACAGTCTCCAAGTATAAATATGCCCATCTTGCCATTGCACACTGTTTAAAAAAACTTTACTACGCCAAAGCTAATTACCGTAATACAGTAGTTCTTGATATGCTGTTTTTTCTTTGTTTTTTTTTTTTTGAAAATCGGAAAATTTTAAGTGCTCAAAATTCGGGATTTTAACACGTCTATTGTTAAAAAACGAGTTATAATCGTTGTTGATACAAAAAAGTTAATAGAGAAAAGACATATATAAATATTAATTACTGAAAAAATCATGAAAATTACGCAGTGGCTTCATAGGCACATTTATCATTTCGAGGGCTCGCAAACTCGGAAAACAAGTTCCAGAATGTGAACCCTTTTCACGGATGAGTGATTGTGTTTACCAAAATGCAGTCTTCTGATTGGTCCGTAATTCCTGCTACGTAGCTGAACGAAATTGCTGCACTAAACCAGGGTTGCCATTTGGCCTTTTTGACGGCCAGATTCCTAAAATCTGGCCGTAAAAAAACTTGCCTGGCCGTAGCATTTGAAAAGTTACGGCCAAACTATATTTGTCCGAATTTTTGGAAAGTTTACATTTTTTTTCAATATAGGCCTAATATAACGTAGACTTGTTTTGGATATTTTGTTTTTGTTAGCTTAAATTCTATATTTGATACTAATCTTGTACCTTTGTTTGTACTTGCACTAAACACTTCATCATGTTCCCCGATTCAGCGATTCAGAGAGTTTATTTAAAAGATAACAGTTACATTTAATAATTTAAATTGTTCGGGTGAAATATATTGTTTATGAAGTTTATCATCGTTTAAGCTTTATGAAGACAGTTCATTGCAAATTTGTACCATATTGTGTGTCTTTGTATATGTTCTGTCTTACTAGTTGGAGGTTCTATCTTTTTGAATTTCTTTTGAATATGAATTACTTCACTTTATTTAATTTATTATTGAGCAATTAAATTGTATAACCTAGGTGCCGCAGTGTTCTTTATGGAGAGCGCCATATACAAATGCTCGATATGATCATTCGGGTCGGATGGCACCTCCAATTTCTAGCAAGTTTTGCAGAGACTTCTTTGAAGTTACTCTGGAGTTAGATTGCATATGAGAATGAAGAAGATAATTCTGATAGCAACATTGATTTATTGCTTTAAATACTGCGACAATAACATTCAGAGGCGAATTTAGAAGTTTAGATAAAAAGTATTTATTAACGTTTTCATAGGTTTGTTTTAAGGCCAGTTTGTGTTACCTAACTATGTAACTTAATTCATTCTAATTAAAGAGCCACAGATTTGCCAATAACAGGCCTTTAAAATTTTTGCTATAAATCGACTACAATGTACATTAATATTTAATACATTTAAATCAAATTTAGTTCAATCTTGATATTGTGATTTTAAATAGCAGAGGTGGATTTAAGGGGAAGGGATGGTAAAAAAAAAGGGAAAAAAAATGATCGCCCAAACGCATCAGGTTAATTTCCTTTAAGATGGTGTTATCTCGATCGGACCCACTTTCGCCCCCCCCCCCTGCATGCCAGCAAATAAAGAACATAGGCTATTGATTTTTAACATTGTTCTGTGTACAGTATATCATTTGAAAAAGTGCTGCTGTTTTTTATTACTTTATACTTTTTATACTGTACAGACTAACGCGGCTATACTTTTTATTCATCATGTTTCAATTTCAAACGAATGACCGCTTATTTTCGTATAATTTTTTGTAGTATTTCAAATGAATGTACCCACTATTGTCTTCAAAGATGGTGTTATCTCGATCGGACCCACTTTCGCCCCTCCCTCCTCCCCTTTTTTCGGCCCCGGCCCTCCCCCTTTCGGACATCTCTGGATTTTCCCCTAAATTGGCCTACATGCCAGCAACTAAAGAACATAGTCTATTTATTTTAAACATTGTTCTGTGTATATCATTTGCATTTCTTCAATTTCAAACGAATGACCGCTGATTTTCGTATAATTTTTGTAATATTTCAAATGAATGTGGTCCACTGTTGTCTTCTAATCGGATTAAAAATCTGGCCGAATTTTGGCCGATATCAAAAAAGTTTGGCCGAATTTGGCCGTGAGATGGCGTGTGTTTGGCCGTGAAGCTTGTCGACAATCTGTCAACCCTGCACTAAACCACGTGAAACCACTGAACGAAGATGCTACACTGCAGAGATGGCGGTTGTTTTTGAACTAGTTCGTAAGTAATTTTGACTTTCCGAAAATATATTAACGATCATATTAGTTTATTTGATACGTTGACATTATGGACTAGGTATTCTGATTTTAAAAATAACTTTACTTACCTAACTAATTTGCCGTATTTAGAGGATGATAATTGGCTAGGCTAGGCCAGTTGCTCGTTTGGAATTTTCGTTAGGCCTCCTAGTTACAAATTGGATGGTTCGTGATGTTAATCGATTGTTGATAGGCGAGTTAATTTAGGGGCTAGAACTGGTAGGGTATTTGACTTCGTTTAACAGAAGCCATATGCATTATGCATTAACATCACTGAAAACTAAAATTTAATGAAAATCAGGTGTTGAGAGAGTGAGATTTTTAGCCAGTGAATTTCAATGGAAGAAAGTTGCAAGACCTGAGTCTAGGCTAGTGAAACAGAGCATAGTGAGCTAGGCACGTGCTATATTAACGCTGTGTTTCTCATTACTGTTAAACAAATTTGATTACTATATGATAATAAATGAGCTATGAAAAAAAATTCTTTGATTTTCTATTATTTTACCTATTTCTCTGTAATATCAAAGATTCAATATTTTCATAATGTCAAATTAGTTACGTGAAAATTAGCCCCGAAGAGAGCAAACCCATCTAGCGTGTACAGCTGCACATCAATACAGAACCACCCTTGGTCAGGGCCATGCTTGTTTTCATTCCGGTTTTTATATATGAGCCTCTCACAACCTAATAATTTTTTTTTGCTCCTACGCCTAAACAAAATAGTCCTATGTTAGTGTTACATGTCAAATTCACTCTGCACATGTTTTTTTCTAAGTACTAAAAAAAATGGTTTTTTTTCTTGATTTGGGGCATTTATAATTCGATTTCAGTCTAGTGAAAACCCATATATATGAAAAAGTACCTGTTTTTTCCATTTTTGAAGGAATTTTTTGAAAATTTTAACAGGCTCACATACAGAAATATCAATAAACCTTTATGACGTAATTTTATACGAATCGTATTTGAGCTTAGTCCAGATACGCAGCATTCACAGTTCAATGATTTTGAAACAATGGATTTGATTGGTCGAACCAAACAGCGTGTCCAAATTTTTCCACTGCTGCACACAGCACTTCGCATCGACCACAAGGTAAAACCGAGCAAGCGTGAGCGATGTTTACGAAGGATTAATGTTGAATCTCGTAAAATTTGCTTCTGTACAATTCTTGATCATACTGAATTTACAGAGAGAAGTTAGTTTTCTAGGCCCTGGTTAATTAGTTATTACAGATTGAATTTTTAGTTGACAAACATTTTTTTCTATGGACATCAGACATTAATTTATGTTTTATTAACTTTTATTTGTTCATATTTCTTTCAGGACAAACGGATTAGAATGGATCTGTCAATACCAAATTATAATTTTATTAAATATGAATGAATGTGATTAAAAATAAAAATAGGCCTACATGTAGTGGTGTAAATTTGTCCAGTTTACTATACAGTGATATTAATTACCGTAGGAATAAATGAGTATGGTACCCATTAAAATTATTATTCTTTGTAGACTTTGTGACACATCACATCAATCATATTTAAAATTAGTACAAATAAATGTGGCGACACACACATTTCATTATTGTTTTAATAATTGTGGTGGTTGATGATTGGTTGATCGTTTTAGAATGATAGAAGAGAGAGAGAGAAGGAAGTTGTGAAGATAGAAAGTGAGATGAGAGGGAGGGAGGAAGCGATGATGGTGAAAGATAGAGTTGAGAGGCAGGTGATGCCCTAAAAATAATATATAAAAGAAGAGTATGTAAAATGAAATCAATAAATTCAGGCTTCAAAAAACGATCGCCCTGGCCTACACGAACTCCGTACTACTACTTTCCATATCTTCAACACACTGCCTACCGCCGTTGTGAAGGGCCGTCGTGTTGCGTGCTGCTAATTTGCATATAATATTGTGAAAAAAACATCTTATTTTATTCAAATCAAACAATATTTCGTCAATGAAATTAGTTTATTAACATTATATTTTAAATAAAGATTCCATAAATGAATTTATTTGTATTCTGATGGCATTATTTTATACAATTCATACCTAATTTGTGACATTCTATACAGCCACCAATAGAGGGCGCTATTTTTTTACCTTGTCCATGGCCAAAATCACTATATTTCCCCCATTTTTCTGGGGCCATAACTTTAGAAGTAAACATCAACAAATTGTAATTTTTGTTTTTATTTATATTGAAAGTAAATATTATATCCACCTGTAAAAAAATTAGTTTGCAAGTCAAATGTTTAGAATTCTTGTCGGACACCCTAACAAAAGTGTATTAAGTGAGAATGGGAAGTTGCGGAAGGAGATCGAGGACTGGACGAGAAAGTGCGACGACTATGGGGACTGCATTAAAGACGAACAGATTGTTAATTATGATTTGGAATCCGATTTTTAAAATTAGAATTATGAAATGAAGTGTGATGAATTAACATCAGAAGTGGACAAACTGAAGAATGATCCAAGTACGAAAAAGAAGAAAAAAACAAAAAAGCAGATGAGCTAAAAAATGAAATTAAATCATTACTGACGAGGATAGATGTAATTAATAATGCAAGACCGGAGACGGCGGCGGGAGAAGAAGGGTAAAAAAAGTCAAGTGATTTGGTTGATCGTTTTAGAATGATAGAAGAGAGAGAGAGAGAAGGAAGTTGTGAAGATAGAAAGTGAGATGAGAGTGAGGGAGGAAGCGATGATGGTGAAAGATAGATAGTTGAATGGGAGGGAGAGCGATGATGGTGAAGGATAGAGAGAGTAATGGTGAAGGGGAAGAGAGGACAGCTTGGGAGAGAATGTTGAGGGAGAAAGAGATTGAAAAGAAAAGAGACAGAATTGAAGAAGAAATAGACAGATGAGGGAAAAAGAGAGTATTAAAACTGCAAGATAGTGAAATTAATTTTTTCGTTAAGTCAATTGAAATTAAAGAAAAAAGTCTAAAACAAAATGATAAAAAATTAAGAGAAAAATTAAAAACTAAACCTAAGTTAACCTAAGAACAGAACAAAAAGACCATACAATTAAATAAACTAAAAATACTAAATAAAAAGCTTAAAAAACAGGTACAGGAAAGAAAAGACCAGAGGCTACAGTAGATCTGGAAGAGAGGATACGTGCAATAACAACGAATCAACAAATCGATGTATTTTCGAAGGGGAAATATAGCAATGCTATAAGGGATGTTTTACGTTGATTTATTGCAAATGGGAGTTGGTATAAATAATGTAGAAAACATTGTTTGAACTGTTTTAAAAAAGCTTTTGGGGATGGAGGCATCTCGTTTGCCTTAAAAGTCTTTGGCAAGCGAGATGTTCCTTGAGGCTAGAGCATTGTCCCATTTACATATAGTTGAAGTTGTAGATCGTAGTGATGGTACCTCTAAACTGGGCCATCACTACTGTACATGGCTTACGACCTAAAACTAAAAGATGGCCATGCTTTTCAAGCTAAGAAAAACATGAGTGACAGAATCAACCTTGATTGCATTTAATAATTGACATAGTGGATGAGGTTGTAAGTACTGATAGACGGGGTGAGAGGAGGAGTGCAAAATTTGGTGGCCACTTTGAAAAACCATGAGTGACAGATGCGCAACACAAAAAAGATTTAACAGACTTGGAAGATTATAGGGAAGAAATTCTGCCTGAATTAATTGAGGGTTGGGGAGTGGGGGCTTACCTGAGACAGAGCAAATCAAAGTGGCCAAATTAGATAAATTATTGTTGTGGCTTTCATATTCTTGTTGGCCTTGCGCATCAGGCAGATGCGAGTTTATATGTGTGGGAAAGACTTGTGCTGAGTGATGAGAAGAGGGGAACAGAGAGATTGGCAGCGTCGAATGTGAAGAGTGGTGAGAGTGGTGCTGTGTGCCTGATCTGCACTGTATGTAAGAGTGCAAGGGAGAGCGCGTGAGAAGAGTGGTAAGCCGGTGCAGTTTAGAGCGTTTTTTGCGAGTGAAAGAGGTAAGAAGAAAGTTCCCCTCGCTTCTTTCAAGGGGAATCGATTTAATATTATTTTTATTGATAACATTTCAATATAGATTTTTAAAAAAACAATTTATGATAGAAATTTCATTTTGAATTAAAACTTTCAAATAAAATTTCTGTCCATCATGCTTTGCTGTAATAATCCATTCTTTTAAACTAATGTTAAGTGTATTTCATTGAGTAGTATAGCATTAAATTGTTGCCGCTTATTTCTAATTTGCAATAGATAGTTAACTTTCATTTTGAAAGTAGAACTTTTGATTGTTAACATTTTAATTTTAATTAAATCTGTAGATTTTTAAAATACAGTATTTGCAGTAGAAATTTCATTTCATGCTTTGTTTTGTATCATCCATCCTCTTCCAAATCTTGCTAAATAGATTTCAAAGTTATAGTTGCAATTGTTGCTATTGTATTGTTTTTGTAATAATTATTTAAAATAATTTTGTTTGCTACATGTGCTGTTTATCAATTTTAAATTTGTGTTTGGCATGTAAAATATCTAATTGTATGTGTTAAATTTTCAAGGTATTGTCATGATTTGTTTAGAATTTAAATATTATTTTATGACCTGCATTTGACAGTAATTAATTTCATATTCCTTAATTGCTATTTTTGTGGGAATGACAGTGTGAGTGAGTGAGGATGACTAGTTTATATACATTGGACACAAATGAGGAGAAAAAGTAGAAGTGGCTGAAATACAGAACATTTAGGATACATTTTCTGACTTTTCTTTGAGAATTTATTGAAGAACAAATAATCTTGAAAGCATGGATAACCTGAATTATATAAATTTGTTTACAGTACTAAACATTTATAACAGAGATAAGAGCACTTGTTGGTAAACAGCACAAGTCTGTGAACACATTTTACCTGGCAAAAGTTAGTACATTAATACATTGCTTTGTTGTCTACAAATAAAGAACTTGAAACGTCTGTCCAGATGGAAATCTGCAATACAAGTCTAAAAGATTAAGTGAACGTTGCAAGTTGTTTACAATCTACTAAAATAGCAACGAAAAACATTGCTTTTTCAGGTGAAAAAAATCTCACATTTTATGAGAAACTGAGCATTGCTATGTTGTTGAATAGTTGCTGAACAGCAGGAGTTGAGGTGGAAAATTTGCGTGTTGTACTGTACAAGATCAATTGAGCATTTACTAAGTTGTTCACATCAAGAGAAAATCAACTTGTTGGATTGTACACGGTTTTGTAGTATGAACAATTACAGAAGCAACCTTAGGAATTACTGTAATCCCACAGAAAGCAAATGAATTAGTGACAAGATGAAAGTGAATGCATGTTGAGAAAAATAGCAATTATAATATGTACAGTGTTTGAAACAAAATTAAAAACTTTATTGGATTGACCCATAAAAAAAAATTTTTTTTTGACTGTTTTGTTTCAAATATACAGTATTCTAAAATATTCAGAACATCAAGCAAGTTCTCAAAAATTACAGTAACTAAGCCAAAAATATGTTAAAAATAGCATTCCATTGAGAAGCATTTTATAGCCGCAGTCAATGTAAAGCCTATTCAGAAATATCAAGTTTTGACCATTGCCCCGCGTAGAAGCAGCTACGCTGACCGAAGCTTGTGTGGCAACGCCTAGGCAACGGTCAAATGCCACTCAATAATCACATGCTTTTATACTTTGTAATTAGCACACTGACATATAAATGATTGAATTGATTAAAAAACAGCATTTCAATTACTTAAAAACATTTCTTAGGCGTACGAATTGTGTAATTAATGATTAATATAGAGTACTAGCTTTGTCGAGAGAGAGCGCTAGGCATTACGTAATCAACAGCCTCGCGACGGTGCCACCTGATCACGAAGGGAAGCAAGTTAATTATTGGAAGTGCGTAATTACTGTACGATTTCTCATTAATTAGTAGATCGATTTCTAAAATTTTTGTTTCTAAACATTATTTACACAGGCTGCTTTCGACTGATGTAAAAATAATCATGAAATTATCTAAATAAATTTTGCATCTGGAATCTCTAACTTTAGTACTGTAAACACATCTATAATCAAAAATAGTATTTTTACCTACTGTGCACTCCTAATAATATCTTGCGATATATTTTCATCCAGTTCTCTCACTAATTACACCAGTTTTTAGCATTTATTACTAAAAACAACATTCTCTCCCAGCGATCCATGACGGTAACAACTTGCGATGTTTGTGTCTAAATAAATAAATGTATTTGCCAGGTTGAGTATCCAATTTTAAGGAAAGTTCTGTTCATTGCCAGGTCATTAATTTTATTTTGTTAATAAAGCGATGCCTTTTCTTAATTATTGTTATTTGTATATTAGTAGTACTGTTTCGACGACGTTATTAAATATTTTGGTACAATAATGACATTTATTACAGAGCCAACAGCAATTGCATACTGAAGCTGTATTCACATCAAATTCCCATCCGAAAATGTTTCGGTGTGAATGATGCTTTTTAGGGCCATATATTTTTGGTCAATAGGTAGGCCTAGCCTAGCCATTCACTAATAATCATTAAATACATTTAGAACCAAACATTACGTTTTTTTTTTTAGGGCCTTTATTACATTTAGGGTCCATAGTTATTACACTTAGAAACTTATATTTAGATTACACTTAGGACCTTTATTTCATTAATAGAGTCAAAAATTATATTGCATTTACGATCTTTATTATATTTAGAGCCAAAACATATTACACTTACGACCTTCTATTACATTTAGAGCCAAAATTAATTAACTCAGGACCGTAAATTACATTTACTGTAGGTCCAATATTTGGCCACAACCTGTAAAGTTGTTGTTATACTGTACTTAGAAACTTCATTATATTTAGAGCCTTAGGATCACTTTCATTACATTAAAGCTAAGAAATATCTTTTTTATGTATTTTTTGTGTGAAGATTTTTAGTATAGTATTTTTAGTATATATATTTTTAGCATAAATTATATATTTCTTTCAGCGCAGCTGAAGGTGGTTGGTGGCACGTGGGTTTCATCGCAGCTAATCTCGCACGTTGTAACCGCCTACTGCTTGAATAGGCTGACTAAGTTCAGAATCGGACCAACATTTTAAAGTAAGTCCAGAATCGGAATTTCTCTTGACAAGCAATCCATCTAATCTTGACCATCTACAGTATTTTTATGAATGCACAATAAATGTCTATTTTAGTGTAGAGTTTCTTGTGCACAGGCTAGTGTTAATGTCTATATTTTCTACTATGTATGAGGTTCTTCTCGATTTTACAGTTTTTAGCCCGCTTTCTGAGGGAGAGGGCTTATACTACTATGATTTTGAGCAAATTTTGAAGCCTTTTCTTTTTCTATCAGAGCCTTTGTGACGTGATTAGGCTGATTTTGCAATAATATAGAAGAGAAGGTCTGGGAAATTTAAAGTATGAAGAGTTTTTTGAAAATATTGTCGGGAAATATGCAAAATTATGTTTTTATATCATATCTCTTATCACTGTGATGGGTATCTGATGAAAGTGTGTTTGTCATTGGTCAGATTGCAAGTGCCAGTATATTCCATATTGTGTATATCAACCAACCACAGCCTGGAATGGTAAGCTTTACTTCTAATATTGCGTCTGCGTTGAGTTTATTTAGTAGCGATCTGGGTGGTCCAGTGAGAGAAAAACAATGTGTGTATAGGCTGGCTGGGTACGTGTAGCAGATCAGATATTACAGAAAATGTAAGCTATCTTTTAATTTATGGATTCAAACTAATCATAAGTTGCTTTTATGTGTATTAAACTTCAAATCACTATTTACTCCTCATGTTGTCCGGTTGTCTAGTGGAGAATTAGCAAGAAAACAACTTTCTTTAAAAAAAAAAAAAGCGGAACTTTCGTGACAATCGCTGCACAGGAGGTACCGCAGCCCAGAGAGTACACTCTAGCTAGCTTTCAGCTGTCCACATGCGTGAGTGTTGAATTATTAAGATGATCCCCAAGTCATTCACCAACCACTACAGGATGGCATGTTATCTTTCTCTCAATAGAAGATCGTTTGATCGTTCAATCTGGTTAATTTAGGAAGTTAGAACATTTAATTTAATGTACTACCTTATATTATTTTCTCATAATGGTATTTTTAAAATGTTCAACTTTTAATAATAAGTACTTCAATGCTATAGCCTATAGGTAGGCTAGGCCCTAGGTCTTGTCTAGGCCTAGGTAGCCTAACCTAGCCTAAGCAAGATTTGTTGCCATTGGGAGTGAGTGACTTGAGACCTAAAGATTTAACAGATGCATTGGTTTGATTGATTTCTGGGCCCTTTGTTAAATATTAGAAAGCCAAAGTTATAACCAGAGAGATATAAAACATGCTCATCTGTCCCTGTTATAACCAGAGTCGATTTTGCAGCATGGGTGATTTTTTATTTATTTATTCAACAATATTTTGAGAGGATAGCTCAAACAGCAATACTACATAAATTATGAAATTGCAAATCAACCTTCAAATTTATTTGTCGCTAAAAAATATTTTGAAACCAAATTTTTTCCTGTCTGTGAGCTAGTAAAATATTCTGTGGGCTAGTAAAATCTCTAGTAAACTAGCCCAGTGGGCAAGTTACCAAAAAAAGTTAGGGCAAGCCCTGTTATTATTCTTGAAAGTAAAAATACAATACAAGAAATTATTTCGTTGTTGGTAAACCATATACAAGAATACTACAAAAAACATTACAAAATTTAAAAAGATATACAGTATTCGAAAAAACAACAAAATGTACATTAGTAAGTTACGTATAATCATTACAAATACTGTACTCGCGAGAATAAGCGCCCGGGCGCTTAAAATATTTTTTGCGCTTTCTGAGGGGCACTTATTCAAATGGGGCGTTTATTTAAACGGGGTGCTTATGAAAACAGATTGGAAATTGAGGGGGCGCTTATGGGAAATTATTTTAATAATAAAAAATTCAAGAGGCACTTTTGAGAACATGGCTCATAGCAAGAATGCATGAATGTTTACATAACAGCAAAATAGCAGATGCAATTAGTGGTGGGTAGTGGTTAGCTTGTTGGCCATCGGCCAATTGAGATTAGCAGGATGGCAGGATCATTGTATTTTTCTTTAAAACTCAGATGAGAATGTGCTTAAGGTCGAAAAAAAGAAAAAGAGGAGTAGGACTAGACATAGACAAATATGTAAAAAGATTAAAGTTGGAAATATCCTGTCTGTCCAGGGATCGGAGCTCTCATCTGTCCAAGAGAAATATCCTTATTTTGATATTGACTGAAGAAGAGTGTTTCCACTCTACAGCTCAAATCATGCCAACAACCACAGTCCAAGGATTGATTGGATTAATAATAATAATAATAATAATAATATATATTTATAAAGCGCACATCTCCACCAATGGTGCTCAAGGCGCATTATTGACTTGCTAAAAGGCTTAATCAAATTAGAAGGGGGGACATATTCAAATTAGAAGAAGGCGCTTATTCAAACGGGGCGCTTAAGGAAATTTTCATGTTAGGAGGGGCGGTAATTCCAGAAAGGCGCTTATTCAAATGAGGTACTGTATTACTTAAAATAATAAATACAGAAGTTGTATTGAGGAGTAAAAGAAGCATAAAATCAGTTAATATTACATTGTTGAGGTTATGGAAAATAAAAGCAATACTGTATATATTAAAATACATTAAAATTAATAAAAAATTTGGAAAAAAAAATAATTTAAGATAGGGCATGTTTTGGAAAAAAAATAATTGAAGATGTTGTTTGTCCACATGGTGTTATTTGCAAGCAATGCTCAGGCTCTCTTTATGGCTGCGCGCAATGCTTGACCTGCGTATAAGGCGACCCCCTCCCGATTTTGAGAAGATTTTTTTAATGATTTTTGTATGTTGGGTACATAAGACGACCCACGACCTCTGCTTAATCGTCGGAATTCCAAATTTTTCTACTTTTTATGGTTTTGATACTGCATCTAGCACGTAAGACGAGCATGATTTAATAAATCTAAAATTTGATGTGCGTATAAGGCGACCCCATATTTATTGATCGTAATTTGATATTTTGAGCCTCATCTTATACGCGGGTATATACGGTAGCTGTATTTTTCATATCGATCAAAGACACCACAGTTCTACGATCAGTTGTAGCTTGCACTTCAGAAGTAAAGCGTACACGTCTCATTATTATTAAAATTATCAATAACAGACTACTATTAGGCAAACAGTCTGTTTAATATACAGTAGTATCTGTCTTTATATTTTTTCAAATTGCTTGCAATACAAACCAAGGTATTTGTTCATAAATGTGGCTACTGTAAATCTTATTGTTTTTTGGGGTGTTTTTTTTAACAATTATTAAGAAGCAGAATAAAACATTGCCATTACAAGATAGGTTTTATTTTGTTCTGTTATTTTTTTTGTAGAGTGGCATGTTGGTACAGTCAGCCAGAATGTTAAGAAGCAGTGGTGTTCAGCTTCAGGATGAGTAGGGCTATTGCACGGTAACTAAATGACATTCTGACACAGATTTGTATTTTCAAACACATGTACCACAAGGTACTTTTGTCAATAGACTAAAAAAAATAAATCACTTTCCATTATTAAAAGAATTATTAATATAATTACCACTCATATTAATATATGAGCGGTAACTAAATGATGTAAATCTGACTTGGGTTTTATACCTATTGTACATGTAATTAAAAAAATCTGTGAATTTATAGGCCTAATTTTTTTTATACAGTATTACAAGCAATCCTTAAGGCATTATTAATATGAGCGGTAACTAAATGACGTAAATCTGACTTGGGTTTTACACCTATTGTACATGTAATAAAAAAAATCTGTGAATTTAGAGGCCTAATTTTTTTTATACGGTATTACGAGCAATCCTTAAGGCATTATTAATATGAGCGGTAACTAAATGACGTAAATCTGACTTGGGTTTTATATCTATTGTATTATTGTATTATTTATCATAAATATATGGTGATTTTTTATTAACAAGACTCCAGTAACTAAATGACAAAAAATTTAGGCAACTGCAATATACTTGATTAGGTATTTTCTTAATGATTCATAGACATATTTTTAAGGTAATCGGTTAATTAATATCAAAACAATACGATATCAAACTAAACATGTTTAATAATTAATATCTTTTTTTTCCTCCACTTGATTTTACAGTTTTTCTTAATTGTGCAATACGTTTTTTCCACGAATCGGTAGACATCTTGAAGTGATGACAAACAACCCAAGTCAGTGGTGCGTAACCAACAGTAATAGAATAGGCTTAGATGCTTATTTAAAAATTCATAATTCCGTAACAGAGGGTCTTATCACATAATTACTCTCAAACAGAAGTTATGAATTTTAAAATAAAACGAGGACAAGAATTCAGCCTCAAAGCTTATCTTATTTCTGTTGGTTATGCACCACTGACTTGGGGTTATTTACCATTACTTCAAAATGTCTACCGATTCATGGAAAAAGCATATACAATCATCATCATAAATTATATTTTGCTCAGTACAGTATTATATGAATATTCAATCTGATAGCATGGAGGAGTAACCCTCCATGCTACCAGAATGCTGTACGAGAAGGCTGAATGAAAATATATTGGGATGTCTTATGGTGAAGTTTTATCCATCTCATGTTGGTGTTGAATATATGTGTAAATACAAACGCTATGAAATAATGTTATTTATGGGAGAATTAATTTAAATTAATATTAAACATTTACTTTTAAATCATTTTTATTATTAATGTTTGTCTTAACCAACAAATATTAAGTCTAATATCATTTTTCTATTACAGGCTATTTGCTAGTTGACTCATTTGCATAATTCACCAGACCATGGTCTCAACACAATGATGTAATGATAATGAATATTCATTGCCAGACTCTGAAACTACAAAAATCAGGAAACTGCTGAAGTGACACCAGATCAAGAACAACTTCTAGAAAGCATATATATACTTCAACGTGGCCAATTGTGGTGGACTACTACTGCTGCTTTGATTTTAAAGTAAGTCCAGAATCGGAATTTTGTTGTTTAAGTTCTTTTTAGCGGTTGTATCAAGCATTCATAGTGTCAATAAATTGCTGACCCCAACACTTTCATTCGTCATTGTGAACATGTGCGCTCAATCCAACAACACTTGCAATGGTAGATCGTTGGTCTGGTTAGGTTTACACAGCGTGACCACTCACAATTTTTGATATACCCAATGACTGGATCAAAATTACCCAAGATTCAGCAAAAATTGGCCAAAATTACCCAAGCTTCCTGAAAATACATTAAAATTTGAAAAATACGTGTTTTTCGCACCTATAGTTTCCCTTTTAGTTCAAGTTATTATAAACCATTTTTTAGTGTAATTGTTATTCATGAGGTAATAATACGGATAGAAAAATACGCACTCAGTCGGCCCTCAGTTTATTAAGAAAAATATACATTATCACTGTAAAATGTGCGCAATCAGACCTTTTTTACTGTAATAGTGACGTCATTAGGGGCGAAGACCATTCGTATAATCGACATTCTTAAAATGGACGTTTTACTGTGTGAAGAGTTTTTTGCAAAAACATTGTCGGGAAATCCGTGAAATTGTATGTTTCTATAATTTTAGAATAAAAATAATTATTTTATTGGAATTTTAACTGTAGAAAGGCATACGTCATCTGTGCATGCGTAAACTTTGTATCACGATATTCTTCAGTTCTGTTTTTGTTTATAAAACGTGGTGCTTGATGGTGCATGCTTAGCACAGCGGGCTGTGAGTAGTAATGACTTAGAATTACCAATATTTTTAGCCTACCATAATAATAGAATGATTGTTTAAAATAGATAAATATACTTATATAAGTATTTTATTTTATTAAACTTAACTGATGTTGAAAATTTAACCTAGCACGACCGTCTAACAAGAATGGGGACTTCCCTAGAGATGCCTGGAGCAAGAATTTTTTTGTTTCATTGCGGTAGCCAGAAGATACACGCATTTCCAGTTGTGTTGAAAATGATGAAATTTCTTCATGTGAACATTTGTAATAAATGTCAAAGTTTCAAAATAATTAAAAACTTAAAATTATGGGAATGGTGTGGAGCTTAAAATGGGGCTTATACACAGGTGACATTTGTTACTAGCCAAGCTAGGCCTGAAACATTGGCCAATTGAAGCTACGTAGCTGCCTAGATCGTAACACAAACCTTATTTGTCTTCAAGAGTATTATCATTTTCAAAAAAAGTGTTCATTGTCTAAAAAAACAACCAAGTTAAATATGTACTAGGCTTAGGCCCCTAGGTAGGCCTACATACGTACTACTATCGATGTCTGTCTGTGACAGTACATGTGTTGATGTTGGTGGCGCACTTTACAGCTTGTTCCCTGCACTCAGGATGAATAAAAACGATCATTTTCCATCAATTATCAACATTTTTTCGTTGATTTAAATCACTTTTTCAACAAAAATAAGGGGGGAAAAAAGCGGCTAGAAAATCAGTATATTTTTTTATTTGGCCTTATTAATGTAAGTCTTAATATTTGTTGGTGAAGTCTAATATCATTTTTCTATTACAGGCTGTTTTGCTAGTTGCCTTATTTGCATAATTCACCAGACCATGGTCTCAACACAATGATGTAATGATAATGAATATTCATTGTCAGACTCTGAAACTACAAAAATCAGGAAACTGCTGAAGTGACACCACAGCAAGAACAACTTCTAGATAGCATTGATAGCGCGGCCAAAGGGGGTGAGTGGTAGGTGGGTTTCACCGCAGTGAATCTTGCACGTTGCAACCTCCTGCTGCTTGGAAGGGCTGCGGAACAACATTTTAAAATAAGTCCAGAATCGCATCAACACTTAAGTTACTTACATCACTAACCTTCTAATCATATAACCATCCATTTCATGAATGCACAACAAATGTCTATTTCAGTGAAGACTTCCCACAATAAGAAAGTATAATATATAGTCCAAGTCACTGTGTTTACCTGTATGTTTTGTATTTATGTGGTCTGTCTAGATAAAAGTGTTGGGAGTTCAATTTACGTGTAACTAACAATACACTGCACGACCTCAAACATTGTACGTTGTTCTTCCTTAAGGTCTATTTACCAGCCAAAACATCTTATGAAATAATACTTTAAAAAAGTGAAAATCGGTATTTGTTGTCATTGCCTGTTTCTGTTTATTGGGTTTTTTTTAGCACAAATGAAATAAATTAATTATAAAATATATTGGGAAAATATGGTAAAGTACTGTATTATTATCAGAAAAGAAAAAGAAATGGAGTGGGGAACAGGAGATTGAATACTAATAATAATAATAATAAAGAAGGATTTTATACACCATATACCTGAATTAAAGTGTCAAGTGACCTCATTGATCCTGTTGTTTACTTCTATGAAAAGTTAGTCTCATTTTTACCGTATTTAATCATTGTACACTTTCAAGTTTTTAATTGCGTTTTTTTTTTTACTTTTATGACATAAAATAGTTTTTACTTCTATGTCAATTTAGCCTCATTTTTACCCTATAAACTTTGTTTGGTTTTATGTAGGGCCACATTGAAAATGTTGCAATTCTTAATCTGAATGTGGCTAATGTTCTCAAGATCTCTCTTATATACAGTAGAACCCTTCATTTACGTACGGGACGGGTCCAGAGATGTTCGTAAAAGTCATTCGTATGTAAAATCAGGGTTGTGTGAAATTCCTATGCATTTACACTACCGATATGCTGGCCTGCACTGGAATTTTGTTGGATTGGAGCCAAAACTCGCACTCAAAAGAAATTCAAAATAACGATCATAAATGTACAATACTATAATGTGTATGTGTACTTTATTCTCTCTTTCTCAGACAGGGCGAGCAACGCAGCAACGTCTTCCACTCGATCCGTGTGCTGGTAGCGTCAAGTAAATACAGAATAACCCGGAAACCAGAGGTTCACTTGTTAAAAGAAGAGTGCTGATTGGCTGTAGACACGACACTTGGACTTGGCGCTTGTTCTACGCCTACGTTAACATTTATGTAATTAATAATAAAGTTTTTAAAAAATGTGGGTGTCGGTGTCTTATTTTATGAGGGAAATAAAATTAACATTAGTGAGATTTGATAATAAAATCCATTTTTAATTAAAATTATTCAAATATCATTGGTTAAAATAATTTTGGTAGGTGGGTAGATTATTTTGTCTGTTCAACTTGTGCATTGGGCAGAGTTTTCTCACAGTTGCAGTTGTTGATCGGTGTGTCGAATGTCGGTGTAATGTTTGCTGATAGTGTACAGCAAACCGTCTAATGACCGAGTGAATAGACTCCACGCCTGACGATTAATTCTTGACATGCATGTGTTTTGTACATGAAATAGGAACTTTATTTATGACAACAATGACATGATTTTACGTTCGGAAATGAAGGGTTCTACTGTATTACTGTGCACTGTTACGCCTATTCGATTTTTTTTATTTATTTCAACAATTTTTTTTGGTTAATTTTTAACCTTTCACAGATATGCATAATGAAATATATATTTCATCAAGAAGCCGAGATGCCTTTCAGATTTATTTTAAATAAGTATTGAAAACGTGACTGTATTACTATGCACGGCTATTTGATTTTTATTTCAATCTTTAACTTTTCACAAAATTGCATAATGAAATATTTTATAATAATAGTCATCGCTCTGTAACGCCATCTGTTGTGAACTGTGAACCCATCTTAAGAAGCCGAGATGCCTTTCGTATATATTTTAACGTATCGAAGTATTAAAAACGTGTCAGTAATGTTAATTATGCTGTATGCCAGCAAAGAATGGAACAGACACAAATAAAGACCAGAGAATTCTAATCAATTTTGTATTTATTTGACTGTTGGCTTGGCATGGGCCTATTTTTATATTTTTCCTTTAGTCCGACTGCCCGACCAGCTGTGTTGGATGGGGGATTGACCAGTCCAGTAGGGGCTGCAGACGCCACTGTGCAGCCAACCCCCTCCCCCAGAGGTTCGCCTGAGACAGCAAATACTCGAAGAAACCTCGAACCAAGGATGGGAATTATATTTCTAATAATTCAATTAGATCAAATCAAGAATTACAAATTGGTTTTGCATATATTTTAATGTACAGTATTTAAAATATCAAATTCCGTATCAAAAACCATGCTGCTTTTGGTTGCCTAAATTAACTGGTTAATCTGGTTGGCACCACTAAAACTATGCATAGTGTTCTATGCTGCTCTTCAGACTGAATCGATCGCTCTTCATATCACGGCTGGCAGCAAATATTCTAAAATCATCTTCAAATCGTAAAACAAACCTTTACAACCTTGGCCCAGCTGGCATCAATAATCTTCTGTATACACTTAGAACTACAGAATTTCAACTCAGCATGAAGCAATTACCGCCATGCAGCCAGTAATGAGGGCGTGCAGGAGGTTGCGGAGAAGTGCATTGTACAATGTGCATTGAGAACACTAAAAAAAAACCCATACCGTGCAAATTATTAGAACAATTGCATAGTAAAATAGCCGATTCCAGTTGAATGAGAATGTCAGCTGCCTCACCATGCATTATAAACTGTCAACAACAACAACATTGCTTACACCAGAAAAGAACAAAAAATAACCTCATCACCAAAACCAAAACATTTCAATTTTACGTATATTAAAATATACAAAAAAGAGAAACTTTTTGGAATTGTAAACCAAAAACCAATGAAGTAAAATAATTATTATAGGAATACTCAACCAGAAATTTGATATCAAATCAATTTACATAAAATATCTGTCTTGTTTCTTGCTCATTAGCTAAACTAAACAACATGGAAAATGGAGACATCATAATTATTGGATTTGTTGTTTCAAATTTTGCAGCACTGTAATTTGGAAATTTAAACAATTTATGTTGGTAGCAAAATCGTGACATACAAATCTTGCAATCTTGCAACCAATATTTGATCAAATGTCCAATAAGCCAATAACAAACACGCGTACGTGTGATTGGTTAATGGAAAAAAAAAATGCGCTCAACTTACTAACCGAAAACGGTCGGTTAGCGCTAACGGTGAGAACCAGGCTTTAGTTTAGTAAATTAGTTTGTCTTCATTTTCCGAAGTATAGTTATTATACTTATTAACAATAAAAATTATATCAAAACATGAAAAAGGGAATTCTTATTTCCTCAAATACAATTTTTAAGAATGTTCAATTAAAGATTTGTTGTGGTAACATGTATACCAAAACAAGGTTGTTTTTTTTTAAATTAAATACTTTTGAATGATTTGATTATGTAAACAAAAATTGTGTTCTCCTTTTCCATATTTGGTAAGATAATATTATATTATATTGTCTTCATTTAATATATATACAATGTATATTATACAATGCATTTTATAACAAAATAAAACATTCTACCTATCAGAAGCACCACAATGTCATATGTAAATATTTATAACACAAGTTTCATTGCATTTTTTAATTGACCAATCATGTATACTGCACAAATTAGATGTTTATTTTATCTAAATTATAAAGCACATCAATTTGATAATATATATATAAAATAAGAATAAAAAATTTAAGTGCTTCAGATAAATTTACAAATTTACAGTTAAAACCTATTTAATCATATTTATTTTAACAACATAAGAAACATGAATTTTAAGGGAACTATCAATTTTATAACAATAAAGAATTCTGAATCAATATTTGTCTCAATGAAAATGAAATATTTCCCAAAATAATGACATAATGTACTTATACCAACTTTCTCCATTTCGATTAAATTGAACATTTCCTACTATTCAGAATTTGTTTTACAATTATTGTTTTATGCCAGAAAAAAAAACCAAAAAACTAACATAATTAGACTATGTTTTTAAACTCTTCTTCGTGTTTTTGATAAGTTTAGGTTATCCGGAAATGTTCAGTTTCAATTTACATTTTAAAACTTATTTTAATGACTCCACTCGGGCTGTGTGGTCATCCTCAGTGGTATGGTAACTTGCACCACTAGTCATCACCAGTGGTATGGTATCTTGCACCACTGGTCCTCATCAGTTTTGTGGTATAGTGGTGTGGTATCTTGGCACCATTGCTCCTTATCAGTGATATGGTATCTTGCACTTCCTCATCAGTGGTGTGTGGTACCTCACAAAATTGTTCCTCTCCTGGAATGATAATGAAATTAAAAAAATTGTAGAAATCTTTCTAACCAGTAACAAACATAAAACTTGTACATGTATAAAACACACGCAAAGAAATACCTCAGGAATAAAGTGGTACCCAGTGTTGTAAGATAATAGCTACTAAAGTTTCCAAAAAAAACAAAAGGATGACAAAATCTTGCAAACTGTGCCGTACTGTATACAGGTTAACACCGGAATTTCGATATTTTCCGTAAGATCTCGTTTGATCACAAAATACAACTAATTTAATTAATACACTATCTCATGTGCCATGGGATGCACTCGAATTGTGCAATAATGTGGACAAAGCTGTCGGTACCCCCCGGTTTGATGCTGAACTCTGTCGCCTTTTGCGACTAAAAGAAGTATGTTTTAGGAAAAAAAAAAGAAAATTCCAACTCCAAAAAATATTGATGATTTTTTGGCGGCATGCAAGGTATTTAAGGCTACCTCTATGAAAAAATATTCTTATGTCAATAAATTATCAAATGACATGAGCGCTAACCCCAAGCGATTTTGGGGCTGGATTAAACCATGCTATAAAAATAGAGATAAATCGAATATTATTCGCCATGGGGACATACTTGCATCTACACCTGGGGAGAAAGCTAAGGTTTTTAATGATTATTTTAACTCTGTATTTAAGGTAAATAATTTTAATTCCGTCAATCCCCATCTCCCAGAATGTCCTCTCGATAACCTTTCAACATTTCAAATTGATAAAAATAAAATTGAGAAGCTTCTAAGTCAAATTGATAAGAGTAAAACATCGGGAAGTGACAATATTAGTAATGTTATTCTAAAAATTGGTGCAACTCCTCTTTCTAGGCCACTACATTATTTTCAAATGGGCACGTTCCCACAAGCATGGAAAATGGCTAATATATGTCCTATACATTTTTGAATGTTTAATTTTTAACCATTTATTTTAACACGTCTCACCCGTTCTCTCCCCTGCTCAGCATGGCTTCATATATAGATCATGTACCACCAACCTTGCAACATTAATTTATTTTGCATCAAGCATTTGACAATAAAACACAACGTGATGTCATATACACTGTCAGACAGATATTTCAAAGGCCTTTGACACAGTCGACCCAACCATAAACTCCTCATTTATAAACTTTCAAAATTTTGTTTTACTGGATATATTTTAAAGTTCTGCGCAATTTACTTATACAATCGAAAACAAAGGGTCTCAATTGATGGCAGTACATCAGACTGGCTCCCTGTGAGATCAGGTGTCCCACAGGGAACAACTTTGGGACCTGGGCAATTCCACGGTAACTAAATGACATTCTGACACAGATTTGTACTTTCAAACATGTACCACAAGGTACTTTTGAATATAAACTAAAAAAAAATACATTTTTTCATAACAAATAGCTTCCTCTATATACAGAATGAATTTTTTTTTTTAAATAACTTTCCGTCATTAAAAAAATTATATTAATATGAGTGGTAACTAAATGACGTGAATCTGACATGGGTTTTATACCTATTGTACATTTAATTAAAAATCTGTGAATTTAGAGGCCTAATTTTAAATATTTATACAGTATCAAGAGCAATCCTTAGGGTATAGCAATGAATGAACCTTTTATTTTGAATAAAAATTATTTATCATAAATATATGGTAATATACATTAACAAGACTCCGGTAACTAAATGATGGTAACTAAATGACAAAAAGTTTAGGCAACTGCAATATACTTGATTAGAAGTTTTATTATGATTTCAAGACATATTTTAAAGGTAATTGGTTAATTAATATCAAAACAATAGAATATTGAACTTAATATGAATGTTTATTAAAAAATAATTTATTAAAATTGATTAAAAAAATGATAGGGTTATTTCACGCCAATTTTAACAAATGCATTACACCATGGGACATCATTTTTTTTTCTCCCCACTTTTTCTACTCAGACATATTCATATTCATGAGAAATGGAAAACCTGTCTCTTATACACATCTAGATGTGTATAAGAGACAGATATTATATTCTGTCTCAACATATGTGAAACATTCTTTAGATATATCAGGTATAAAGCTTTATGTTGATCAAGTATTGTTACCAAATGACCACAGTAAGGATGGAATGATGCATGTTCATTATAGGATGTTTTCAGTGGCTGAGTGGTAAGGCAGTGGTGCCAACTAGTCATTGGTGGATCCAGGAATTAGAAATAGAGGGAGTCCAGGGAGGTATTTTAACAGACACCACCATGGCTGTGGCTGAGGGGGAAAAATTGATTATGGCACCTCTAGATGGCCAGAAATGGCACTCTCAGACAAATTTTGATTATACAATACAGTAATAATTTTTCTCCATCTTTAAAAAAACTTTGAATGTAGAACCAAGTCTTCTTGGATAAGCACTCACTGGAGGTCTTGTGTGCACTTCAATGATCAAGTATTACAACAATGTATTTATTAACCCTGTCTCTTATACACATCTAGATGTGTATAAGAGACAGCTACTAAAGAGTGGCTAATAATAGGAA